CCCGCCCGGAGCCGGGGGGCGGGGCGTGCGCGGGGCGGGGAGGGGCGTGCGCGGGGCGGGACTGCGCGGGGTGGGCGGGGCCACGGGAGGGGCATGCTCGGGCGGGGCGGGGCCAGTGGGAGCCTGGCAAGGACGCCGGAGCGACCCTGCGCGGGGCGGGGAGGGGCGGGGCGGGGCCTCTCGGGGGAGGGGCTGAGCACTCGGGGGGCGGGGCCTACGCGAAGCGCTCCTGCGTCAGCCCCAGCTGCTCTTCCGCCGCCCTCCCATCGGTCAGCGGCCGCCCCGCCCCGCCCCTCCCGGCGCCGAGGCTGCGCACTGTCTCCGCCCCCCGCACTCCTGTGACGTCACGACCCGGCACCGATCGTGCCTCTTAAAGGGACCGTGCGTTCGCCCGCAGGCAGCGCTGCAGGAGCAGAGGGGCAGCTCCGGGGTTTAGTCGTGTGGCCCGCGCTCGACCCACGAAAGTGGGAGGCGGCGGGCCGGGATGTTTAATTAACTCTCACGCAGGCTGTGGGGACCCCAGCCCAACGTGGGGTTCAGAGGGGCGTGAAGGCCTGGGCCGGACAGGGACGCAGGAGGGGAGGCAGGCGAGGGTCTCGCGGCCAGAGACGGAGGGCTCAGAGGGCTCGGGGAGAGGGAACTCGAGGAGGGGTCCTCGAGGCGGGGGACAAGGGTCGCGGGCTGGGGAAGCGCTCTCGGGGGCGTGGTCGGGCGAGGTGGGGGCCAGGCTGGGGCGTGGTCGGGGGGGTGGCTCGAGGCTGGGGCGTGATAGGGGCCTGGGGCTCGCGGCGGATAGCTGGGGTCTCAGGGCGGGGCGGGGCGCGGACTGGGGAGGGGATCTCGGGGGCGTGGTCGGCGCGGGGGTGGGTGGGCTCAAGGCCGGGGCCTAGTCGGGGGCAAGGGGCTGGGGACTGTGGGTCTCAATCCCCGGGGGTGGGCGGACTGGGGAGAGGATCTCCGGAGCGTAGTAGAGGCTTGGGGGGGGGGGCGGGGCGGGCACAGCCGGGGGGGGGGGGGGGGGGGGGGGGCTTGTCGTCGGAGCGGAGGGCTGGGGGGCTAGGGCATGGTCGGGGCAGGGGTCTCAGGGCCGGGAGCCAAGGTCTCACGGCCGTGGGCGTGGGCTGAAGCAGGGGATCTCCGGGTCTTGGTCGGAGCGAGGTGGGGCGGTTCCGGGAAGGGGCGTGGTCAGTGAAGGGGCCTCCGGAGCTGGGGTCTCTTGGGGGCGGGAAGCAGGCTGGGGACCAGGATCTCGCGGCTGGATTGCGTGGTCCCCAGGAAGGCAGCCCCGACACGGACCACACAGTCTCTGGGGCACCGGGTGGGACCCACACTTGCCAAGCATCTTGATGGCTACATTGTAAAAAGGCGACAACGGAGACCCAAGGCTAATTGAAGAAAATCTTTTATTCAACACACTGGATACACACGCAGTCCACATTTAAATGTTATCAGTGAAGTGTTTTCGCGGCTGTAAACCTGCGCCTGGGCGCACAGTAGGCCTCAGCGCCGCCGGCCCCCTGCCCAGGAGAGCTATGCCGGTGTGGGCAGAGCCAGGGGCAGCCACGCCAGGTCGCCCTTCAGCTGCCCCCCCCCCGCTCCGTTAAAACAGACGGCAGCCCCCACCTGCACGAAGTGACAGGCAGCTGCGCCCTTGCCAAGGAAAGCATCCCCTCTAGTGATAGTTGGGAGATCCTGCTTACAGCGTCCGCCTCGCCTCACCACCAAAACCCTTTGACTTGGAAACTGATGTCTGATTCATTCAGCAGGGGTAGCGGACAGACTGAATTGGGCCCACCGGAACGTGGTAAGCTGAAGCCCCATCCCCCAGGATGCTTGTATGCGCACATGGGGACCACAAGGAGGTGATTACGGTTAAAGGAGGCCAGAGGGTGTGTCCATTTTCCAAGAGAATTCATGTACCTATAGGGGAAGACCCCAGAGCACCTGCTGTCGCCCACACCCTCCAACCCCTGGCAGAAAACAGAGAAGAGGTCGTGGGAGCACACAGAAGGTGGCCGTGGACAAGCCAGGAAGAAACCAGAGCTGTGGGGACTTGGCCTGAGACTCTGGGCGTCCAGAACCCCGAGGAATACATTTCTGTAGGAAGCCTCCTACTGGGTGGTATCTTGTTGCAGAGCCTCCCTGACCAATACGGTATCTTGTTTCCCTTTTCACGAAATCTGCACGTGCCAAGGATGCCCTTCGTAGAAAGCAAATGCAGAGACATCACTGATGCCTGGAACCTGCCTCCTAAGAAGTGGCACTGCCTGTTCACCTGTCCGCAGGCTGCCTCTCCCGCCTCACCTCCACCACCTCCGCACTCCTGCGTGCGTGTGTGCTGGCTCACTCAGAGGCTGTGCCTGAGTCGGAGAACACCCAGCCCCTGCCCTGGCACCCTCCTCGCCCAGCACCCACCCTCCTGGCTCCCCTGTCTGACCTCTTCCCCCCGTCTCCAAGCCCCCAGCCGGCCTTCCCACTTGGTGGGCAGGCTTGCCCTCCACCTTCGGAAAGAAGGATTTGCAGTCCTTCCTCCACCCAGCCCACCGCCCCCTCTCGGTCCCGCCATCAGCTCACAAGCAGGCTGCAGTGTCTCATATCCTGTCAAGTCCCCCAGTGTCCTCCGCCCCTCTGTGCCCTCCCGTCTCTGCTCCTTTGCTGCTGATGCCTCTCCTAGGAGCTGACCAGTCTGCCCCAAGTGCCCTCAGCTGTGCTGCCCTCACCCTGACGGGGCCATTCTCACGGTTAGTGCGGGCCTCCTAATTCAGCAGCCAGTCCCCACCCCAGGCTCCCACCCTCCCGATTACCCCCCAGAAATAGGGTCTGCCTGCTGACGATGACATTTGCAGTCCTGGTCCTCCCCCTGGCTGCCCACCCCCTCTGCCTCCTTTGCTTGCTCCTCCTGGCACTCCGCCTGAAGTCCTGGGGTCCCCAGGCTTGGTCCCGGCTCCCCCTTCCTGTGTGCACACTCCCTGCTGATGGTCCTGAGACGATCGCTTCACACTCTCTCCACGTGTCTGCTGCTGCGCTGGGAAGGGCTATCGCGAACCCCGCAGACGGCAACGAGTTCCGGATTCACTCCCGCCTCCCGAGGCTCACACTCCCAGGTGCCCACCTGACGATGCATGGAGCCCAGGCCACCTCGGGTCCTTGGCAGCCTTCTTTGTCTCTCTGCCCCAGAGGCAGCTTCACTGGCTTCTTCCGGCCCTTCCGCCTCTCACGTGCTCCTTCCTCCTTCAGACCCCCTGACCCACCGAGCACACCACCACGTCGTCTTTCCCTTCCCCTCTGCCTGTTGACCCCCCCCCCCCCGCCAGGCACACAGGTGTAGCCCGCCACCAAGAAAGAACAAATATGTGTTACGTGAATAAATAACATGTCAGAGCCCTCGCCATGCCCGGGTCCTGGGGGCCTGACTTTCAGAGACGCTGACTACTAACATCACCGCTATTAAAAGCCACGTTCATGAAATCATGGGTAAAAGGGAGGCTTACTTTTTCTTGTGTGCCCTTCGTTACCTGTGGGATGCTGTCCCATGTCTATGTTTCCTTTGCCAAAATAACAATAGCATTCTTTAACTTTTGCAACTTATTATATACGTCTTGCAAAGCCCACTTAACAGGCTCCAGGAGAGGCCTGGGCCCCCCTAGCATCTGGGTCTGGATCTGACCCCTCAGTGTGAAAGGGCAGAGGAGAGGGGTGGAGGTAGCCAGAGCTGTGATGTTGATTCCTTGGTGGCAGCCAGCCTGACCCCACCCAGCCTGCTTAGCCAGACGCTCTCTGGACTCCCAGGAGAGAGTTTGGTCCAGTCTTCTGTTAATAATAGGCTGTCAGCCTTTTTTTTTTTTTTTTTTTTTTTTTAAGGACAGCACATTAGCAACTAAATATCATATCACTACTTAGTTTAAGATAGTAACCGATTTACTTATGGATTCAGACTATTGGATGGTTGGGAGGTTTACACCGGGGATTCCCTCTCCACAAAAATGCTTAAAAGCCGTCCTTCAGCAGATGGAGGGATGGATGGATTGCACTTTGTAGTTGCAATGCATGTGTTAACTGTGTAGCAATCAATTTGCAATACCACTACCGGGTGAGTCACCCCTAGTCCTTTCTATAGAACACACTGTGTTCAAGGGCTGGCTCCAGTCAATTTTCTGCAGAGATCCTGGCCAGACACGCAGCGAAGGGAACCCAGGACTGTGTCCCCTTGGTGAGGGGCTGGACTCTGTCGCTTCAGCCAGAGGGACATTTGCCATCAGCAAGTTAATGGGCGGCTTATTATTTCACACTCCTCTGGGAACGGGAGGTTTCTTTCCTTCTGAATTATTTGGATTCTTTCTTCATTAATCAGCTTTCCCCAGTAACAGCTATCGCTTTGCAGACACCCACCGTGTGTGAGGCCTTTACAATTCTTGCCTCTAAGTCCTCATAAGCAGTCTTGGCATGAGGCATGTATCTCTGTTTTGCAGATGAGAAAACTGAGCTTTGGGAGTAAAGAGCTGGCCAGCTCCACACAGCCAGCAGGTGCAGGGCCAGGACCCCAAGACCTGGTGACCCCCAACAGCACATGCGGCCTTGCCCTCGTCCATTCATTCATTCATGCATTCATTCCTTTACTCATTCACGGATTCATTCAACAAATCTTCATCGGACACCTTCCCCATGCTTGGCAGTACCCTGGGCTCCAGGAAGAAGTTGGCAAATGTCCTCGGGACGCTGAGGCCACAGCGGCAGAACGGGTGAGAAATGCGCACGGGGTCTCTGTGATTGGGTGGTGCTGTGCCCGCTTACGGAGACTCTCCTTAGGAAAGTCACATGCTCATCATAGGCGATTCGAAGTCTGTAGAGTTGCACACAGAGTCTGCTTCGGAGGAACTATGGCTCATAATTTCACTCCAGACAAACCAAGCCCTAGCTGACAGCACTTTTGCTAAGTAGCCTTTACACCTAGCTCCTCACCTAGCACTCTGGTCAAGCCATACACACAGTTCTGACTCCTCTTTTAAAACCCAGCATTATGGGGCGCCTGGATAGCCCAGTCAGTTGGGCGTCTCTTTTGTTGAAAAAAAATTTTTTAACTTTATTTATTTTGAAAGAGACAGAGACAGCACCAGTAGAGGAGGGGCAGAGAGGGAGGGAGAGAGAGAAAATCCCAAGCAGGGTCCGTGCTGCCAGTGCAGACCCTGATGTGGGGCTCAAACTCATGAAACCATGAGATCATGACCTGAACCAGAGCTGGACGCTTAACCAACTGAGCCACCCAGGCGCCCACAGGGTCCAACTCTTAATCTCAGCTGAGGTCATGATCCCAGAGTCATGAGACTGAGCCCCTCATTGGGCTCTGTGCTGGGCATTGAGCCTGCTTGGGACTCTCTCTCTCTCTCTGCCCCTCTCCTCTGCTTGTGCTCTCTCTCAAAAGAAAAGAAAAGAAGAGAAAAGAAAAGTAGGAAAGAAGGAAGGAAGGAAGGAAGGAAGGAAGGAAGGAAGGAAGGAAAAGAAAGAAAAAGAAAAAGAAAAAAGCACCCAGCATTATAACATCAGTGCTTTCGGATACAACTGAAAACTCTCCCTAGATGTTTCTAGTGTCCGAGTCATAGACACCTGATAGACACATCATGCTGCAAATTTAGTTGTTTCCAGTTCTTTTTTTGTTAAGTTTATTTATTGAGAGAGAGAGAGAGAGAGAGAGAGAGAGAGAGAGAGAATCCCAAGCAGGCTCCGAGCTGTCAGCACACAGCCCAATTTGGGGCTCGATCCCACAAACCCTGAGATGATGACCTGAGCTGAAATCAAGAGTCAGACACTCAACTGACTGAGACACCCAGGTGCCCCATAGTCATTTCCAATTCTGCATCATCAGGTCAATGGGTTCAGAAAAGGCATTTGACAACATCTAGCATCCTCTTTGTGATAAAAAAAGAAAACTCTTTGCACACTGAACATAGGGGGTGTCCCCCTGAGTCTCATAAAGTTCGTCTGCGAAGAACGTACATGAAGACCATGCCAGTGCTGACAGACACCCTGGCTTTCTGAGTTTCAGGACAAGGCAAGAGTGTTCGCTCTCACCCCTCCTATTCCACATCGAACTACAGATCTGTCCGCACAGCAAAAACAAGAAAAAGAAAGTGAGGGCATACAGACTGGAAAGCGAGAAGTAAAATCGCCTTTGGTTGCAGGCAACGTGATCATTGACATAGGAAATTCTAAGGATGCTACAAAAAACACTACCAAATAAACGCATTTCACACAGTCATGGAATACACATCCATGTTCAGACATCAACTGCATTGCTGTCTCTCAGAAACTGGCATTGCAAAGCAAAACTTTAAATCATTTCCACTTCCAATAGCATAAAACTTGAAACGTTTATGAATAAATGTCACAGGAGACCTCCCAGGATGGAAACCATAAAGCACGGGGAATTGTCAAGAAGGGAGACCCACGGAAACCAGAGGACAGGGGATACGAGGTGCTCGGGGGTGAAGGATTTGCCAATGCCACGAGGTCGTTTCTCTTTGGCTGATCTTTAGATCTAATGCGATTCCACTCCGATTCCAGCTGGCTGGAGCACACTTGAAGAAGAACAAAGCTGGGTACTCGCACTGCCTACTGTCAAGACTTACCATAAAGCTATAATAATCACGACAGAGTTCTGGGTGTGTAGATCAGAGGAACAGAGTAGAGACCCCAACCGCAGACCCACATTCAGGGGGTCTGATGGTTTAGACAAAGATGCCCTTTCAACGGGAAACGATCATCTTTTCAACCACCGGACCCGGGATCAATTGGATATCCATATGGAATAGAGTAAACGAACTTACTAAATATGAATCGTAGACCCCCCACACTAAAGCTAAAGCCATAATACTTCTAGAAACACATGAGAATATTTCTGAGACCTTGGAGCGGGCATAGATTTCTTAGAGAGGAGGACACCAAAAATACCACCCGCAAATGAAAAAAAAAATGGTAAGTTGCACTTTATCAAATTAAGAGCTACTCTTTTTTCGCTCCAACATCCATCATGAGAATGGAGAGTATAAAAGGATCGTGGTTTGTGCACACAATAAATACCCCTCCGCAATAGAAACAACGTGGCTCAGTCCCAGAAACTCTGTGCTGACTGAAAGAAGCTGGACACAAAGAGTAGACGCCACCCGATCCGTGCAGTCGGTGCTGGAGACAAGGTGGCTGTGCTCCACAGCGACCAGAGTGGCCGTGGCTACCCGCCCCCCACGCCCCACCCCGGACAGGGGCGATTGAGCACCAGGGAGCAGAGTGGTGGGTGCTGTTTGCAAGGAAAGAGATGTGGACAGGTTAAGTGGGTGTGTACGTTTGTCAAAACTCATGGAAATGCCCATTCAACACAGACGGATCTCACTGTACAGGAATTACACCTCAAGGCGGACCTTAAATGCTTGACAAAGGAAATGAATTAATGGTGATGTTTACGTACATCTACTATGTCTCCTGCACGATAACGTAAACCCAAATCCTCCATAATCAGACAGTTGGTTTTAGACTCGTTTGTTGGCATAACCTGAACTGAAATAAGGCAAATCAGGGTCGTTGTGTGCCGGCCTAAGGTGAAAATCCGCATGTGTTGTTTCTGAAAGATTGAAACATGTGGCGATGGGGCTCTGCCGTCTTGCCCCATCGTACATGGAACGTGCAGCCTATCATCTCCCTAAAAATCCAGGGGGGGGGGGACGTTGGGGTGCCTGGATGGCTCAGTCGATTAGGCAACTGACTCATGATTTTGGCTCAGGTCATGATCTCACAGTTTGTGAGTTTGAGCCCTGCATCGGGCTCTGTGCTAAAAACAGTCTGCTTGGGATTCTCTCTCTCCCTCTCTCCCTATCTCTCTGCCGCTCCCCTGCTTGTGCTCTCTCTCTGCCCCTCCTGCTCTCTTTAAAAAAAAACAAACAAACAAAAATCCAGGCGGAAAATTCTGAATTATAGAAGTCTGGGTTTGTTGGGTTTTTTTTTTAATGTTTATTTATTTATTTTGAGAGAGGGAGCGGGGGAGTGGAAGTGGGGGAGGGGCACAGAGAGAGAGAGAGAGAGAGAGAGAATCCCAAGCAGGCTCCATGCTCGTGCAGAGCCTGAAGTGGGGCTCAGTGCCTTGAGCCTCGAGAACATGACCTGAGCTCAAGAGTAGGACGCTCAACGGACCCAGGCGCCCCTGAATGCTGAGCTCTATCTGGTCCCAGGGTTTCAGGGAAGAGATGGTGGATGGTGGGGCTTGAGCTGGAACAGACCACATTCTGATCTGCACACTTTATTCCTTAGAAAAAGCGCTACCAGTGTCACCCCTCTGGAAATGTAATAGCACGAGGCTGCTCTTCTGGTGGCCTGGTCCCTGGAGGGAACTGGCCCCTTTCAAGTTCATCGGAACCTGCAGAACCCTCCGCACCGGGTGCTGGGGCCGTTCTCCCCCACCCGGGGAGGGAGCCAGGGAGGGACAGAGCAGGCACCAACCCAGGAAGAGGTCTGGGCCCCGGGGAAGCCTCACCCCGCTCCAGGGAGACCCCAGCATCCTCTCCCAGGCACAGAGTGGGTGGTGGCAGCACGC